AATGCAACTCACATCCCATCGGCAAAAGCGGCACAATAAGAATTGCTCGCTATCGGTTACGGGTGTTAGGGCACTATAGTATCTTGCCCTCAGGTTCTGAACTTGGATTGCGCGTAGTGGTGATACAGATATTAGCGCTAAGGCGCTCGCTTCCGGACGCAGGAGTGTCGTGCTCTTGGGTTTTAAACTAGATTTGGGTGTGTGGCGCTGTCTTTTGGGCACTACTCTTGAACCCAATATAGGGGGCACACCCCGTAACCCTTCGAAGAACTCAACTTCAAGTTTCGTCGGTGAAATTGAGGGTTTTGAGTGTCCAATTTATTAACACAATCAGGCTCCTCATAATAGCAATCTCTGTTCAATCCATTTAGTAAATATCTTCTAGGAGCCCAATAATGATGTCGCAATGTTTTGTAAACAACTGCATCATTGTTTTTTTCAACAAGATCTTGTTGTGCATAGCTATAAATAGTTGCGTCTTGTTATTATAGCAAGATCAAACCATGGAACATCATACATCTTTCCAAAAGTATGATTTGCAAATAAACCCCCTTAAACAAATGCCAAGAAATTAATTCGTCGAAAAATGTCAAAAGATGCTACTCAAATTAGTGTGACAAATTTGTCTTTGCAAATAAAGGTATCTTACTTAAAAAACTTTAATAGAACAATCAATTATTTGATGTGGTAATGTAATTATTTATGTTTGGTACTTTAAGGATTATCTGTTGGGTAATACAATAAGATTCGATACTAACTTCCTGGATACCCAAAAATGATTTAATATTCTCTAAAGAGAGAACTATTTAATATTTCCTACAGATAATACATGCATAAAACAATGGAACATCATTAAATAGTTTCAAAAATATGTCCAACGGCTCCTAATGTTGTAGATCACTATTATAAACTATGCTTTAGATAATATGTAACTTATTTAGTTTTAGATGAACTATTTTCCAAGGTGAAATTTGAAGGGCTTTCTAAATTGCCTGATATGAATGCCTTTCACGCTTTTTTTTTTTTTGCCAAAAATGTGAGATATTATTCACCCTAATTTGATCTCTATGTTCGACAACATTCACTTAGGTAAGGTTATAGTTTTGCCCTTATTTTACGTCTAAAAAAATGGGACGATAAAAATACATCAGACTTATTTGGCGCCTCAATGGTGCTTGAAAATTGGAATTGGAAATCTATTCGAACAAATAATTTAATTTACTAAACCTATTATTTGGGGTAAATGTTTCAATAACTCTTCATTCGTGGACTCTTGGTCTACCAAAGTGTCTCATTGTTCAACTTTTATCAAAAGCATATATTTTTCATCTCTACTTGAGCAAGCTTAATGTGTGTTTGTTTTCGGCTCATTCAATTTTTCTTTTTTTTTGTTTAAAATTGGCTCATGCTTGAAATTGCTCATAACATCATGATCGTGCTTGGCTTATTTGAATTTTAAACAAATCCAAATCAATTCCGTAAAAAATTGAAAATAAATAAATAACAAGTGTAGTGCAATAGAATAAATCTACCTATCTACTAACCAATTAATACATATGAGAAAAAGTTAAATTGCTATACACACAAGCCAACAATGAGTTAAAAACAATTGAAAAAGAATATTTGTATTCAACTTGCTAAAAATGAGCTTAAAATCATTGTTTAATATATCTTAACGAGCAAATCAAACATGAGCTTTTTAGAAGGCCGAACACAAGTTTTTCACGATGAATGAGCTTTTTTAATAACCCTATTTTGGAGGTTCATGATATAAAAAGTATCAACTTTTGGGGAAAAAATAAATGCATTAATGAAATCTCTATAATTTCTCAATTCAATGATCTACTCATCTTTTATAAAAAATAATACAATTCAATTGCCACTTCCACTTCACCGATAGCGATTGGTTCAATTTGTGGAAAGAGATTATTTCTCTTCGCTTTAATGGTTAAAGATTACTTCTCTTCTTCCTGTCAATCAATTTAATCTTCACCATGATTAGGGCATGCCTTGATGGCTTTGTTCTCCAAATGGCTCCTTCTCTTGGCTCCCACTCAAAAGATGGACAAGAGAATTATGAGTCTACGTTACTCTTAGATTTAAAATTCTATTGCTCCTATACAAATTAAAGTTCATGTGCGTTTCATTTATACTTCTACCAAGATTTATATATTTCAAATAGATTATCAATATTACAATTTGTGAATTGCCAACGCTATTTGTGATTTTTCTAGAGATAAAGTATAAAATATTTTACATTTCTTTGGTTGTAGAGTTATATCCAATATTTTACAGATAATTTATTTAGTATATTCATTCTCATTCAAAATATGAAATTTATTTTCTTTACCTAGCATATATTAAAGTTGATTCAAGGAGCTTGGGGATATCTTCTTTTTCCTTTCTTCCATGAAAATCATTTGTCTTGGCATCAACAATCTTGAACTATTGAATATGTAATGCTAAGGAAAGGAGACTTCTATCCATAATCTAATAATACATAACCACTTTTGTTCATCCCCTCTCAAGCTTTTACCCATGTCTACATAATTGTATCTCTCCGTCTGCTTGTTTTCAGTATTTTCTTTGAGTTTTTAACCACTGGTGGTCTTACCAGCAGCAATCTATACACCTTGGTACATAAAGCAAATTCATTAGTCGTTAAATGATAGCTTCACAAGCAATATTCATAATATACACAAAATTAAAAATAAAACTATCACGTCACTAAATAACAAAGCTTTGGATAATGACTTTTTGCCCCGGATCCCCTTTTTTTTCTCTCTTTTCATGATTAGGAATAAGCATCCCTCTATCAACAAAATTAAAAAAAAAAATTTCTTTCTCCTTTCGAGAAATCTGGGAAAGAAAAATTCTTTTCTGTCCTTTTGACATTTCCTCGTGCATCCATCTGCATTGGTCACTAGCATTTTGTGCTCCCTTTAGCATCTCTTTACCTATCTTGGCTCTCTTCAATCTGGTGATTACGACCTGAAGGATCGATAAATGTGGCTTATGAGCCTAGGATTTTATATCAGCTTTCATTCACTTCCCACTTCAAAGTTTAACTATTTTTGTTCCCAGTTAAATAGATCAACACATTTGAAATAAAAATGTGAAAGGCTAGAACATCTATGGTGTATCACTGCTTGTTTCCATTATAGAAACGAATCAAACAAATGAAATCAAGACAATTTTCAATCAAATTACTGCTAATCCAATTATATTCCAACATCAAACAATATTTTAGTCAGACTTGTTCCCATTATAGAAACAAATCAAAGAAATGAAATCATGACAATTTTCAATCAAATTACTGCTAATCCAATTATATTCCAACATCAAACAGTATTTAGTCGGACAACAAGTTCATGAAAGAAGATAGTAAAATGGAATTGGAAAGTTTTAGCTTCATTAAACCGGCAGAAGATAAAATGGCAAGCTTTTATTCCTGTCAAGGCAGCAAGAGCTCTGAAATTTTCTCTTGATTGGATGCGTTGATTTACATGACGAACATGAAGATGGTTGAATTGAAATTATCTCTAGAATGGCTCCGGATTTTTTCAGTCCTTTCTACACCACTACTTTGTGGTTTTAAGTTTGATCAGATGTTATTTTAGTTCCAATTTTTTTTTTTACAAATATTTCAGCACTCTTCATAATTGCATTTCTAGTGATACATGATTGCCATTTTTTATTTTCATACATGAAAAGCAAGGGACCTTCTCCCAACCCCCCCAGTATATTCATCAATAAAAAAAAACTTATATTATCTCAAAGCTCAAAATGATCTAACCATAAAATAGTCTTTAAACAATATTCATAAAATCACTTTTGCAAATCAAAAGGCACACCATAAAAATCGCAAAAAATGAACACTTCAAAACATGCCATCAATTCACAAAATAATAAACCTAAGACAAAAAAGAAAGACAAAAGCATAATCAATGCATCTTTCATTTACAACAAAATGCCGAGTACAATAAGAACTGTCGCTAACATGTTTATTAAGCTATATGTTGTGGTCAGTGTCTCGTATGTCTGATAGTAACTTATAATAGCAGGCAACAGAATGTCACTACCATGATCATTAAGCTATGAGTTGTAGTCAGTATCCAGTAAGGCTCACATTGCCTTACATAATAGCAGACAACATAATGCCAATAGAGCTATCCATCAAACTCATCTAAAATACTACGAACAAAAAAGCAATTTTCAATTAATTCCCACTTGAATCAGTAAGCACAACTAATTCAATGAATATCATAACCCTGGTACAGAACATAAAGTTGCTACTAATGAGAAATGTGAAAGATCACACTACGGAGTATAATGTAAGCAGCCAGCATCAGATGAATCACCATAATATTCAAATTCTGAAGTGTGCATGCATGTATATATTGATTAGGACATAGTATCTCGAAGTACAAACAGCAATATCAGATGCAGAAATTATTGATAATCCACTAACAATAATTCAGTCTAAACAAATATGTCAAAATAAAGGAAGGGAATAATTCAGAAAGAGTAGTTAGTTTTATCAAATAAATATGAGTTTAAAAAGTGGAGGTGCAGGGCAATAGTGAGCAACTTTGGTTCAAGTATAGATTAAATATTGTAGAAAGATGCTTTAGAAAATAAGTTGAATCATGAAGAGGATAACAATTACATACACTAAGCAATATAAGAAGCAGAGTAAGCTAAACAAATAAAAAAGAATATGAAATTGACTGTGCAACTGAAAGTGTTTGAGAGAGAGTGTGCGTTTCTGCCTTCACAAGATCAATCTTAGCTCAAGTGAAGACATAGTTCTCTAAACATGACTCGTTAAATTATTTATTCTACTATTATAAATAGAAAAGGTAGAATAAAAAGACAAATGTATCCATCAAATACTAACAAGAGAAAACGAAAAAAAAGGATAAAATTTTGCAACATTCATATTGGTTCTTCCACTCAGACAAAATATAGTAGCATGCCAATAGAATAATTAGGCTGACCTCTAGGGTGGAATGGCAATCAGTGACAACTTCAAAGATTGCATCTAGTCCTTTAAGCTCCCTCAAACTTTCTTTAAAATTTCCACCAACCTTTCTAATTGTCTCAGTTGCACCTGAAGGAAACATGTGACAGCAAAATTTAGGAGGATAAGCATTTAAGAGTAAGAACCTTACCAGGCACATTATATTCAGCATCACTTGGCCAAATTATAGATAACAGTTAGTAACAACCCAAAGTGCTGAAATTATATGGCAGTACATCTTAATGAAATGAAAGGAAAGCATTTTTTGAGGTTACCTTAAACTGAAATGAAAACACATACTCTATGAAAATCGTATACATGATTCTTGTGCATCAAATATGGCTTTCTATAGGAATGACATTAGGCACTTCATTGAGTCTAATGACGCATTCTTTGAATATTTGAATTAAATAAACAATCACCATTACAATAAATGAAAATTGTATCAAGCTTTCAATGTTACCTAAAGAGTTAAGCTGGAAAAAGTAATGACTTCCTTCAAAGCTGTCATAAAGAGGACAGTTAAAAAACAAAGGCATAAATAAGTTAGAACTGTTTTTATAATATTTCCAGGCATTTCCAGGGAGAAATCACTGTCTCGACATTTCAAGCCTAATGACCTTGGTGCAGGACAATGCTCTAACCACCAAGTGTTCTGCCACTAATGAATAACTTGAGTAATCTAGCGTGCAAGAGAAATATCTACTGCTACTGCAACCACATACCATGTATCCCTGCAATGCAATTAAATATGACAGCAACGGTTTCTGATTCCTTGTAAGTGTTTTGTTAAACGAACATGAACCATCTTAGATTTCCATTGGGATGAGTAAACATAGCCCAAACTAAGTTTTGCATGCATCTTAACTCAAAAAAATAAATAAATAAAAAATAAAAAAAAATTAGAAAAAATGAAAAAGCAAGAAATTATTCACTTCACTTATTTAATTCACAATCCGTTCCCAATAACTAAATATGCTTATAGTCAAATAAGAGAAAAATTTACAACCATGAAAAGGGGCTATATGTGGTAGGAATTGGAATATCCGGTTAATCTATAGAAAGAATTTCCTTAAAAGGTAAACATATAATCAGAGTTATTACAAGCCGTGTGCACCATACTTGAATAAGAAATAAATCAGAACTCATGATATCATAATAATAATGTAAACCACATATATGCCACGATAGAGAAGAAATATGAAGGACATTAAACAGCAACTTACCAGCAAAAGAGACGGTAGATAAGCATGCTTTCTCCATGATCAATAAAGCTATCCATTTTGAGCTGAACTCCGGCCTCTTCATACCATCATCATTCTCATTGCCAGATTTGATCTCATTACAATTTACAAGAATTTCTTTGACTTTTGAAATTATTGCTCTTGAGCTAGAATCAACTCCTTTACTTGCACTATCAAGTGTTTGAGGCTTGTGTCTATCTAAGAGATTGAAGCGGCCCTTTTGTGGCTTCTTCTCAACAGAATGACTAATTGGTGGATTTAATAGCATAAGAAGAAAACGTAGACAAGCCGGAGACTCTAGAAGACGCTCATCTTCAACCTGAAATCAGAGAAGCGAATAAACAGGAAACAAAACAAAACCAACATTTGTATCAGATTCACCTCCAAAGTAATTATTCAAAAAAATATTCCCACAGTCTAATAACACGCCATGAGACATAATCTTATAATGCTACTAAAACTTCAAAGCCTAACATGTCGGCAATCAATTGAAAATAGAAAATCGTGGAAAGCATGCCGCCAAAGTCTATGAATCCACATCAAAAAAACAACTAAAATAATAATTTTCATTCAGATCATCCCTAAATAAATGGAACCATCCATGGAGCACATTATTAAGTATAGAAGTAGCAGATCTTTTGATAACCAAATAGAAAAAATCCAACGTTCAAGCCATTAACAAGTAGCTCAAAAATAAAAAACTTTCTTAATTTTAATTTGCCAATTCTAAAATCAATAAGAATAATATAAAACCTTCTTTCTCACAAAGAACCTTTTCAAAACAAGTAAGAATCTCTAAGACACCGATAATAGATAAATTATTGCTCCCATGCAAAATCCGCACTCAAATTTACTAAGGACCTTCTAATATAAAGACATACTTAAAATCTCCATGAAATTTAATCATCCTAATTAATATTGAAATTTAATTATAAATCACAAAATAATACAAAAAAATTACAAAAACCATGATATCACCAAATTAATCCTTATTGAATCAAGGTAATTATCTCAAAACTTAGATACAATTGTGGAAAGATATGTTACAATACCAATTGTGTTGGTTGATTATTTAGCCAAATTAGCTCATAAAAAGGTGAAATTATGAGGCATGATCAATGCAGAAAACCTTGATTTGCTCTTAAGGCAAAGAACATGAGTATTACGTACACAAAGTAACTCAAAGCCTCAGAGCATGACAAATAAGAATTTAGTGACACTAACAACTCCATTAAAGAATTGACTTGACAATGTCATTTGGCTCTACTAATGAGAGTACTAGGCTTTATACATGTACCATTGTATGCCTTACTACAATAGTTCAAGCCCGAGGATATAAATATAAGACAAATTGATAAACCTAATAAAGTTGATAAACCCAATTGAGTTCTCATGGTGTTAATGTCAAAGGATTTTTATAAGTGAGCCGAAGAACCATAGAGTCTTAGTCATGCTACGTTAGTGAGCTTTGTGCTTAACAACAGGCATCAAGTCAACAAAATTTGACCATAAGCAGTGATTTCCATTTTATGTGATTTTTTAGATCGAGTCAATGATTCTTAGCTTTTATTGTTGAATGTCATTCTAAGAGCCATGAGCTCCCAAATCTAAGGTGGAGAATTATAAATGAAGGGTGAATTATGAGGTAAGATCAATGCTGAAAACCGCAATTTGATTTTATGGCAAAAAAAAAAATCTCGTAGACAAAACATCTCAAATTCTCAAAGCATGGGTAAGTATAATTTAAAGCAACAAAAAATGACTACAATAACCAAAGGTATGGATTGTCCAAAGCTATCTGGCTCTAATCTTGAAAGTACTCCCCATAGAAATATGTCATTTCTATTTAATGTTGGATACGCTAATGCTTGAGAACATAAATGCAAAAAATGTTGATAAACAATATTAAGATAATAAATCTCCATAACATATGTTTCCATTATCTGAAGATTTTAATCCTAAAGTGCGATCGGGTAATTACAATCTCTATAATTCCTCTCATGTGATTTTGGAGATTTATGTTACAATGGGATCTTGGCATCATCTTGGTGTGCCCGAAGGAACAAGTATGGAAATATTTGCCTTCATGATGATGTTGCCACCTTTAAGATAATTTTAGTTATTATGACACATTTGGGAACATTTAACACCTAATGTGGCTTTTCCTTTACTTAGTATACTCCTCAAGGATACTTCATAAACCTTAGATTTAGAGGAGAAAATCAAAATTGTGCCCTAAATATCTTATAAAACCCCAAAACACTTTCCAAAGCTTCAACCTATGGAGGCTTCTACTAACTTTTCTAGCCATATGTATTTATGTAATCTTTCTTAGAAATATTCTACAACACATAAATTTGGAAGGCACTGAAATTTTGGTTCTTTTTGCAATTTCAAAGTATATACTTTTTTTTCATAATTTTTAAAAATTTGGAGAGTATTTTAAGAATATTTCAAAACCATTAGGACAAATTTGTAATATTTAAATTGTGTATGAACTACTATTATAATTAAAAAAATCATTTTCACGGGATATTTGCACTAACATTGGCAGACCAAAATTGATGTGGCGCCACAATGAACTGAAACATGACAAATTTAGTAGCTTGTAAATTTTATTCAACCAGTAGTAGGGCCAAAAATCAAGTCACATGTGGTAGGGTATAGTTTGACAAACTATAAATGTGTTGGTGGATCTCAATCCTTAAACGTCAAATTATGTTAGATTAATCAAGCAAGTTCAAAAAAATCATAAACTCTCCTCTCCCATGTTTGTAAGTCTTTACAAATTGTAAGGAATAATCCTTGTTGCGTACCTTACAATTAGAGAAATTAGGACTCATTTGAGCCATTCATAAGATACAACCAATTTAATTTAGCCAACAAGAGAGCTATTCCAAGTTTGTCAAGTAAAATTTTGAAGGGTTTGTTAGACATTTTGCTTGGTTTTCCTATGGTATTACTCCCACGCAATCTTAAGTAATTGTAGTTATTTAAGGAAAAATTTTTTACCAGCTCACCCAAGTCCATTTCAAAGACTCGTCACAATATTCTAACACTTTTCTAACAGTATTTTTAGTTCAAAACAGCACTAACACAAAAAATAAAAATCAATATACCTAAGTACATAATTAATATGAGTTCCAGGGCTTTGCTAAGGGTACGGATAAAACACAATTCTATCGTCCCAATCTCTTCCTTGTTCTTCTATTTGTACAATTTTCAATTAAACCTCCAACTCAACAATGTGATGGTAATGTCACACCCAATTTGTACATAATGTCATGCATCATCAAGCTATGATTGTTCAACCTCAAGGCAAACTTAAATTTGGTAAGGTTAATCTTTGATTGTGAGTGATGTCACAAACAAACAACTCATATAAGTGTTCCATGTACTTAATCAATAAATTCTTCATTGATCTTCTATTACTCATTATTGAAACATTGTCCCATCAACATCTTTTCAAAGCAGATCCAACAGATTGTCTCGATTACAACAACATTTTGCCAAATCGAACCCACCCAGGATCCTCAATTTTAAAATAGTACATTAATACTCAATATCGACAAAACAGTAAAGAATAATCTTATGGTCCAACAATGATCATTCGAAGGTCCTTCAGTTTTCAAATTTTCAGTTATCTAAAGGTCCTTGCCAGCTTTGAAGCACTTGAGACTGTCACCATAAGCTTTCAGATGCCAACTGGAATAGAATGAGCACTTGGAGTTTGAGCGCTGGGTTATTTAGACTACTAATAATCTCAACCATTAAGATAAGTTCTAGGCAAAATCTCAAGTTGGCTTCAAAAAATCAACATTGGTCAGCTCCAATCCATCCAAACTCTTATAATCAGGAGCTTAATTACAATCAATATTGTGTCTAATAATGAGGTCTTCATGATTGACGGATTGAAAGAATCGTTCATCATATTCTAGAGACAAAAAGTTCATGGATGATCAAGATTCCTATTTTCCCTAAATGTTCTTAAATAAAGGCCAAATCAATAAACCAATACCTCAAATGAAGTAAAAAAATCTATCAATAAGATTATATAAGATTAATCACATTGACAAATAATCAACTTAACTTTATATGTTGGCTAGGGCAGCAGGCAACCCTTGCCAACTTTACCGCTAATACCACTAATACAGATTATGGCATAGCATCAGCGTGGGCAGGTTCATCTTTATCATGCAAATCCTGAATTGTGTGATAAATGATGATTGAAATGCACTTTAAAAAAGTCTAAATTGTTGAAGTGCGGGAAGACATCTAAAATGCCCAAGTGATGCTAAACATGAAAAATGCATGCACCAATGCAACTTAAAAAAAAAACTACAAGCTCTGAGAGACAACATTAATTTTAACCAGGACAAATGTAAGCCAATGTGTAGAATTTCTTCATCCTTGAAACAAAAGACAAGATGACGTGCACATCTACCCATTTATGGGACAGGAGTGGAAGCCCAGTTAAAAACCAATCCTTCCCTGGCTGGGTCCAAGAATTCCTATTCCCTTGAGCTGGTCGGTGTATTATGGGACTATTTACTACCATAGGTTATTATTAGGGTGTTTTCTTTTCTACATAAACCTAGTTTGGGCACAGTTGGGTCTTATGAATTAGAGACAATTTTTCTCTAATTTTTCCTTGTTGGGGTGCTAGATCATTTGATCTCTCTTAGGCGGTATGCATGTGACCTGATTAAATCTAGATGATGAACTCTCCCGCATGCCCGATGAACCCTTATACCGTCGGTGTTGCTGCCGACCTGCAACTTCCTGTTTTCAACTTCTTGTATGGTTGTCGATTGTGCAAGTTTCTCAGCGACCGCCATTTTTTCAACCTTCATTCTCATCATACAACTCATCTAAAACCTCTTCTAATCTCCCCGCACTAGTCTAGTAACCTAGATCGGTGTCAGTTTGTATCACAGCCACCCAAACCCTAAATCTTTAGGGATTTATTTTCCTCGCTTCTAGCCTAAAATACACAACATATTTCATCTACACAATCAATACCCTAACTTCAACCCTATTCTCCATTCCTAACCCTGAATCCTAAACGCTCACCCTCACCCTTCACCCAAGAATCGCCTACATATTTTGGCTAGAATCTAATTGCGAGAAAGTGATATAATATCACCTAGAAGAGACATGCAAAAGGGTGTCCAAGAAATCACAATTAATAATATGAAAAGGAAGACTCAGCAATTACAATAAAGTTTTATCGAATTTAAAAGGAGATAAGCCGAAGAAGTTGCCCATAACCATAATGAAGGCCCGTCGGATTGAGAGGAGAAAGTTAAACCCCTCAAC